GCGGGGCGGGGGTGGTCGGGACACCTGGGGCCAGGAGCTGGCAGTTCCTATCCTCCGCAGAAGGGGGAAGGGGGGGTGCTTAAGGTGGAGCTGGGAGAGCCCTCCAGGTCTCCGCGCGCAGGGGTGGGATCGGATCCGAGAACCCGGGTCCGCGGGGACCCAGGCTGGGGCTCGTCCCAGCATCACAGCCCCCGCCCCGTGCTCCACGCGGTCCTCCTCGGGGGGCTGCCTTAACCGGGCTCGGGGATCCCCTGGGAGCCCGGGGTGCAGTGCGGACCGCTGACCAGCAGGGGGAGGCAGAGACCTATAGACAGAGAGAAAGCCGGGGGGCGGGGGAAGAGGAGGAGCCTGGAAGACAAGAGCTGGAGGTGAGGTCAGAACCAGGAGCCTGGAGAAGATCAGGAGCCATGGCGAAGAGAAGGAGTGGGTTAGAGGTGGGAGAGAGTGAGGCCCTCCCAGAAGAAGAGACAGGAGAAGCACTGAGTGACAGATCCTAATATTCATAGAAATGATGATACACAGAGCTGGTGGCAGGGAAAGACATACAGAGAGTGTGAATGATACAGACGAGAAGAGACCCACAGAAAGACAGACATACAGAGACAGGTAACAAGACACACGCCCTCCCATACCTAGACAGTGAGAGATCCATACAGCAGGTTAGAGATGGAAGAACAAGATGACAGCCATGAAGGGGGAGAGAGAGAGGGAGAGAGGGGAGGGGGAGGAGAGAGGGGGAGATAGAGGGAGGGAGAGAGAGAGAGAGGGGAAGAAGGAGGAGGAGGAGGAGGAAGAGAAGGAGGAGGAGGAGAAGAATTTGTTGTTATGTGCCATCCATCGAGTTGCCTGCAACTCATAGTGACCCTATGTCAACAGCCCTAAACTGCTCTGTCCTGTGCCAATCGTACTGTCTCCTACACTCCCATCCCGATTACGATTACCCAAGACACTGAGTCATTCTTCCCCTCCTGCGCCATCCCTCCACCCTCCCAAGTATGATGTCCCTCTCCAAGGATGGGTCCCTCCTTACAACATGTCCAAAGTATGTCAGACGAAGCCTCAGAATCCTTTCCTCCAAGGAGCAGGCAGGTTTAATCCTCTCTAGGATGAATCTGTTTGTTTTCTTAGCAGTCCATGGTACCCTCAATACTCGTCTCCAGCACCACAGCTCAAAGGCATCAATTCTCCTTCTATCGTTCCTAGTCATTGTCCAACTCTCTGACACATAGCAAGTGATTGCAAAGACCATAGCCTGTATCAGATGCACCTTAGTCTCCAGAGAGACACCATTGCTCTTCAGTACTTTGGAGAGGTCCCTAATAGCTGACTTTGTCATTTCAATATGTCTGTTAATTTCCTGGCTGCTGGTGCCAAGATTGTTGACTGTGGAGCCAAGCAAACTGAGAGAGACAGATAGTATTAAAGAGAAATAAAGGTGAGAGGGGATGATATGGAAATATATATATATATATATATATATATATATATATATATGGAGAGAGAGAGAGAGAGATCCAGAGACAGACACACGTATGCTTTGGTTAGGTGTCTTGGAGCGGAATTTTGACTCATCATGACTCTTTCTGACTGAGAGTGGAGCTGTTCCATAGATTTCCTAAGCTGCCATCTTCACAGAAGTACATCACCAGGACTTTGTCCCGAAGCGCTATGGGTTGGCTTCAAACTGCCAGCCTTTTGGCTAACCACTGAGCTCTTAATCATTTGTTCTAGCAGAGCTCTGACACATATGTAAACCCACTGCTGTCACATCAACCCCGGCTCCTACAACACTTCTTCCTCAGTCTTCCTCCTTTATTGTCAAACTTCACACACATGTGCAAATACCCCGACTTAGGTCAGGTGCACCTTAGTCCTTATTCTCTGGCCATTTCCAGCCTCATCTCTCCGCTCTTACACCATGTCCTCTGGTTTCTGGGCAAACTATTGCTTCTAACTGGGGCTCCTTTCTCTGCTGAAGGGGCTGTCCTGGGTACGGTGCATTTCATGTTGTGCTATTGACCCAAAGATTGACATTTCAAGTGGTTTTACGGGAGAAAGATGAGCAATCTTCTCTCATAAATATTTACAGCCTCAAAACCCTGATGGAGGTGTCCCCTTGGGTCAGACAGGACTGACTTGATAACAGTGGATTTCTCTGCTGGTGACTGAGTATTGGGTTGTTAACCAAAAGGTCAGGCGTTCGAAGCCTCTCTGCAGGAGAAAATTGTGACTGGCAGTCTTCTCCTGTAATGATTTTTTTTTCTTTTTCCCTCTTCCTTTTCTTTTTTAAAAAATTATTATTAATTTCAGTGAAAATTTACAGAGACTTTGGATTTCCATTCATTCATTGTTGTACTTTGTCATGATTTTTTAATGAAAGTATATAGAGAACAAAGATTTCCACTCATTCACTGTTGTACATATTCCTCCCTGTCCACCCCTCCTCTCCCAGTTCACTTCTCTCCTTGAAAAAATAAAAACATTGTTAGACAATTCTTCCCAGTCCACTTTACTATGCAGCTCTTATTCTGTACTCTTGTCATGCCAATAATACCTATCATATATCCTTTTAAAGCAATTCTCTCCCTGATCTGTTTCAATGCAGTGTACATTATTTATCCCCTTGTTTCTTAGTTTCTCCCCAACTCCCATGTCAGTCCTGTTTTGTAACAGTGGCATTATGCAGTATTTGTCCTTTTGTGACTGAGATATTTCTCTCAGGATAATGTCTTCCAGTGTCACTCATTTTGTATATGCCATTAGGTCCTTATTTTTAAATGCTGCGTAATATTCCATTGTGTGAATATACCAGAGCTTCTCTGTCCATTTGTTTGTTCTTGGGCACTTGGGTTGCTTCCAACTCTTTGCTATTGTGAACAAAGCAGCAATAAACATGGTTGTCTATCTATCTATCTCTATCTATGTATCTATCTATGTATCTATGTATCTATCTATCTATCTATCTACTTAGGTGGCAGTTCTGATTTCTTTAGGGTATCCTGTAATGATTTACAGCTTGGACAACTCTCTGGGGGAGCTCCTCTCTGTCCTTCATTCAGGGTTATGAGGAGACTCAACGGCAGTGGCTGCGCAAAGTCCTGGATCCTTGGGAATCCCCTGCTCCAGGAAGCCACCCATCAGTGTCCAGAGGTGGGCAAGGGTCTGCTCTGAGTCCTACAGGCCACCTGTGCTGCCTCTGTTCTAGGCTGATCTGCACACAGAGATGGCTCCGTGTGGGGGGTGAGTGGGGAAGGGCCACGGGGAGGTGGGGGGAGGGGCCAGTTCCAGATGTGAATTTCATGCCAATTCGTCTCGGGCGCTGGGAACAAAGGTTAGGTCATAAGAAACACATGGAGCTCACTCTGCTTTGTGCTTTTATCTCCTACCTCCCGGACCCCCGGCTGGGAGGTGGCCGGCTTGGGGCTCCGCAGGCCTGGGGATTCCCACAGTCTCTCACTCCTTGCTCCCTGCCCTGGTCGCCCACTCTCTCCTAGGCCCAGCCAACAATTCTTTGATCCTTGATCTCACGTCCTGGGTTCTCCTCCGCTCCAGGAGGCTCCGTCCATGGGGAGTCTTCAAGTCACTGTAACACCCACCACAAATGCCTTTTAGTAATGCTTCTTTTGAATTTTGGTAGTGGTGAATAATGTTGAATGGAACATGGACTACCAGAAAATGAACACCTTTGATGAGTGTGTTCAATGGAGGACTTTGAGTGGGAGTTTGGCCAACTCAGAGTGGAATTCCCCAGGAGAGGAATCAGTTCATTCAATGATTTAGAGACCTGGTGTGGTAAGAGAGGAGAGAGGAGGCTAGTGGTGGCCTAGGGAATGGCTGTAAGGAGTATGGTTTGAATGCACCCACAGATGCCTTAAAAGAAAGACTCGGTAACCCTCTTTAGAAAATAAACAGCCATGAAAGCCCAATGGAGCACAATTCTTTTTGGGGACGCCTGGGGTTACCATGAGGTGGCAACGGGTAGTTCTTCAACAATACTGTATAAATGCAATATTACAGCCAGATGTTAGGTGCTACCAAGCTGACCTCTCCAGAGTGCTGAAGAGCAATGATGTCAGTCTAGAGACCAGGGTGCATCAGATCCAGGCCGTGGTCTTTAAAATCACTTGTTATGCATCAGTGACCAAAGATGGCAGAGGAAGAATTGATGCTTTTGAGTTGTGGTGCTGAAGAAGAGTATTATCATGGACTGCCAAGAGAACTGACAAGTATGCCTTGGAGAGGGTGAAACCAAGCTGCTCCTTGGAGGCAAGGATGTTGAAGCTCTGTCTCACATAGTTTGGGCATGTAGCCAGAAGGGACCAGTCCTTGGAGAAGGACATCATGCTTGGAAGCATGGAGAGACAGAGCAGGAGAGGAAGATGCTGGAGGAAATGGGTTGACACAGTGACTGGGGTAATGGGGGTAGGTGTGTCAGAGACAGTGAGATTGGCTCAGGATAGAGCAGGGCTCAGAGCTGTTGTACGTAGGGTAGCTATGAAATTGCAGTCGGCTCGACAGCACTTAAAAACAACAACATAGCAGCCCTGTGAACAACAGATGGAAGCCCACCTCCGTGCTTATCCCCCGTTCTGTGTCCACTATGCTCCATGCACCATG